CAACAACCACAACAACAACAACAACAACAACAACAACAACAACAACAACAACAACAACAACAACAACAACAACAACAACAACAACAACAACAACAACAACAACAACAACCAACAACCAACAACCAACAACCAAACAACAACCAACAACCAACAACCAACAACCAACAACCAACAACCAACAACCAACAACCAACAACCAACAACCAACAACCAACGACCAACAACCAACAACCAACAACCAACAACCAACAACCAACAACCACAACAACAACAACAACAACCACCACCCACCACCACCACCACCAACAACAACAACAACAACAACAAACAACAAGCAACAAGCAACAAGCAACAAGCAACAAGCAACAAACAACAAACAACAAACAACAAACAACAACCAACAAACAGCAAACAACAAACAACAAACAACAAACAACAAACAACAACCAACAACCAACAACCAACAACCAACAACCAACAACCAACAACCAACAACCAACAACCAACAACCAACAACCACAACAACCAGAACAACCACAACAACCACAACAACCACAACAACACAACAACCACAACAAACAACAACAACAACCACAACAACAACAACAACAACAACAACAACAACAACAACAACAACAACAACAACAACAACAACAACAACAACAACAACAACACAACAAACAACAACAACAACAACAACAACAACAACAACAACAACAACAACAACAACAACAACAACAACAACAACAACCACGACGACGACGACGACGACAACAACAACGACAACAACAGCGACAACGACGACGACAACCACAACCACAGCGACAGCATCTAAGAAACCTTGCCTCCAAGCGCTGGTGCTCGCTGGCAGACTCCTCGAGCTGCTGAAGGAGGTCAGCTTCCACGTCTGCCTCGGAAGGAACCCAGGGGCCATGGCGGGGCGGGGGGCCATGTTTCTGCTGGAAAAAGTGGGCTACCTCCAGGAAGCAACTCGGAATCAACACCTCGGGAAACCCATGAGTTTCCTGACTTGGCGCTTGCCTTTTAAAGGAGTTGGCAGGCATATATGGGAGGATATGGGAGGGCAGGGGCAGCGCCAAACCAAAAGTAAGCCAACCACCGTCTGTCATGGATCCTCTTCCTCACAGAAGTGGGAACTCTGTGTGCGAAGAACCCCCTAATAAGTACAGGGGATGCTGGGTGGCTTTCCGTCTGGATCAGGACCAGCATGTCAGCATCGGAGGCTTGTGTTGGTTTCCCTGGCTGCACCCATACCACTAAAATCTAGGAGAACTGCAATTCATCAACACCAGCAGCTCACTCTGTGATCTCCAATGAGGTTCAATGCAGAAATACCAATACATCCCGCCACCTGATGCAGCTCAAAACTCAAAATGCAATCCATTCTTCGGTCAAAGCCATGTCCTTTGTGGCGCCGGTCCGGCTGGGCCTCCGGGCTGCCTTGGAGAGCTGAGCCTCCAGCGCTTCCACCCGGCGCTGCAGGGACCAGCGCGCTGCCAGCAGGCGCCAGGCCCAAAACCTCCGCTGGGGGTTCTTTGCGGAGGTCGCGTCGGTTTTGCAGGTACCTCTTCGTGCAAGGGTCTTGGCGGATGAAAGGGTTTTGTCCATTGCCTTTTCATTTCTTGTGTAGGGTATCGGCATTGAAAAAAGAGGCCTGCAAAATGGTCTTGACTCTTGTGTTTTCGAGATCCCTCTCATGGTCCAGTGCACTTGGTTCAAATTGTCTGGTGGAAGCCAGTTTCAAGGGTCCGAAAAGGTCCCCAAAGCTGGCAGTTTCCGACTTTTAGCTTTTGCAGAAGCGATTATTGTTTGATCGTATCAACCTGACAGCAGGTTCAAAAGCAGGTCCAAGAAGTTTTAACCAATTGTTGGGCCTGAAGCTGGAAAGTGGCAGTGCCGTGAAACTCTTCCGATGCCTGACTCAAACCGAGTCAGGGAATGTGTCTGAAACGGAGGCCGGCCCAACTCTAAGGATGATTGACGTCAGTAGAATTCCCCTCGAACACTGGCATCAACCTCTTCGCATCACAATGTGCACTGGCCATCTGATCAATTCAAAAGCACAAACAAGGGCCTTTCCCATGAAACCGACGTCACAAATCAAAACCTGGTATTCAGGAGTCTACCTGGAACCTTGTGTAAAGACAAACTGGCCAACTGTTTCTGAGGGCACCAAAAAGGGAAACCAGAAGTAACACCATCTTTTGGGGTCCCATACAAGACACACACTCACCCAAATGATTTGGCCAAAACATGGCTACGATTGTGGCAAACCAACAAGTGGTTGAGGATGTATGGAGTTCGCTCCCGCATGGCCCATGCATTTCGGATTGAACATGAGATTGAACCCTGTGCGGCAGCAGTGATTGTAGAATTGTGTGGGACCCGACAAGATAGATGGCTTCCTTTTGGTCTCCCTTCAAAGCCAAAGGAGAGTTTTCCCTTATGGTCAAAACGTGTTACCAGAAAGGACATGGACAAATACCTATGAGTCTTGTGGACTGAAATCCAGGGGCCCCTGTGATTTCACATTCATCAGCGGGCAATCAAAACATGCAACCCTGTATTCAGGTGCCTCTCAGAATTGAAATCGGACACCCACTGGTTAGTTTCCAAAACGGTTTCCCAATGCAAAAAGAAACAGTCGCACGGTTTCCGTTTGCTTTCCGCCAGCTGGGCGCCCGGGCGCTCTTCCGCGGAGCGCCGCCTCCTGTGCCAAGCTCCGAGCCAGCGACAGGCGCTCGAAGCTGTGCCTGGTGCAGTTTCCTCCGTTGGAATTCTACGCCATAGTCCGCCAAAAAGGCATTGCTTGGTTTGGCGACGTTGGGATTGGCTTTTCCCGTGGAAGGGTATAAGCTCTTGGTTTTGAGGGCAGTTTCGTATGGACCTCCTTTCTGTGTGCTCAACAAGCTGCACCTTTTCTGGACCAATGACGCTCCAAAGCATAGAAGCGAGCAGCTAAGGCATTCGCCGCTCATTTATCTCCATCTCCCTGGCAAGATGCTGGATGTCTTCTTCCTGGAACCGGTGCTGAGAACACAGTGACAATGGACATGATGACATGGGCCATCCCGCCGAGCTTGGGTGGACTCCTTCTTGGAGAGCAACGCTTGCAGCTCCAAGACCATGCGCAATTGCGCCTCTTGATCCTGATGCCTGGCGCTGCTGGAAGCAATAGGAACCCTCCATCCAACAGGTGTCGATGGTCTGCTGAAGGTCCTTAGGGTTGATGACGTCATATTTTGAATCCAACACACTACGATGTCTTCCAAAGCATTCATTTGCACTGGCCACAGGTCAACATGGTTCCACAGCAAACTGGCCGAGGCAACGCGCGCGCAGCTTGCAGCTGCACCCGCACATGGGACCGCCAGGCGCTGAAGCAATTCCTTGGCCACGCTGCGATGGTATCACGTGCTGTCTGATCGCCCAACCCAACTTTTCAGGGGTCAGCGTTTCACGGACCCGTGAGTTGTTTTTTGTGCCGAGGACCCTCACAAACCATGTTTCTACCATCCCGATGGATCAACCTATTTTGAAGGCTTTGCCAAGAGAGACACTCACTTGCACACATACGAACCCCGAGGCCAACGCATAAGCAAGCAGGCTCTGAACCACTCTCACCCCTTCTTCCCCGAGCCTTACTGTCAACTTCGGAGTCCTTAGGGTGCTCCCCATTCCAAGATCTTGTGAGGACCTTATCTACTTCATGGGGTTTGATTGTTGGGAAGATCTTCCTCCCTGAAAGTTCGATTGGACTGTAACTACAACAATTCCCCTAATGGGTGCCTTCGCCAGCAAAGGTCTCATACTGTCCACCTGAACATTACTCTCAAAATGGCGGCTTGTTAGTATCGCTATATTTCCGGCATTTTGGACCCCAAAGAAACCGGGCGTCTTCACCAGCCAGGAGCTGCTCAAAGTCCCGAAGTTCCGCTGCCGCTGCTGCGCCCGCAGCTCCAACTCTGGCGACAGCGTCACCGCTAGCGGCTCCTCGCACGCGCGCACGCGCGCGACGAAGCGCATGTGGCACGCGCTGCGCGCGCCTGCGCCATGGAGTTCGGCCAAGGAGACTTCATAATGCGCATGTTAGACACGCAAAATGTGCGAAACAAACGTATGGCCAGAAACCAAGAGAGTTGCCTGTGATGAATGCAGCCTGCAGCATGTGCAAATGTTCACAAACGGGCTTCCGAGGTTTTGACAGCTCCTGCGCGATCTCTTGGCGAGCTTCGCGGTCTGGGCACGCACGTGGGGACGTCCCCTTTTTGGCAGAGTTTTCCCAACACCAGTCATGACTCACCTTACCATCTTCTGGAGCTCCCATCTGAGCCATGGCCAGAACTGTTGTGAGAACTTGTAAGGAGCACGCAAACATTGGCGAGTCCCCAACAACAAAAAAGAGATCACATGCGTCCCGCGCTCGGTCCCCCCCTCCCCACAAACGAATACTACTGGCAAATCCAAGAGAGATCTCTTGTGACACCTGTGGGCATTCTGGGCCTCTGGCTCTCGAAGCTGCGAAAAAGCGTACTCTTCCCCGCGTTCCAGGTGTCGGAGCCTGAGAAACCTGGAAGGGGTCAAGGTGCACTATGGTGAACAGGTGTATGCGGCGAGCACAAAACCCACACCTTCCCTGAAAAAATGTTGTCTCCATGCGCCCACATGTCACTGGCCCGGCAATCTGGCCCAAACGTGCCTAAATGGCTACAGCGCGCCAATATGCGCCAATAACCTCTTCACACCACGCCTGTCTTTCTGATGGCACTTGCAGATGCCGACCTGCCGCGAGCAGGGACAAGTCAAAATAGAATTCGGGGCCCCTTCTTTGGATGATTTAGAAGGAAAACAAAGGTAAAAATCGCCAACCCCCACACCCCCGAGGGCGACTTCGGCCACTTCGGCTTCCACTGCCCGGCAGGAAGGACCCCGGGCAGGTTGAGCTCAGCGCTTTGACCCGCGGGAAAAGCGAACCTGTTGAGGAAATTGGCTCATACTTGGCATACCCTGAATTCTCTGACTCTCGCCTTCGCACAGTGCGCAACTCGAAGCGGACACCAGCTGGGCCCAAAGCATCCTGACAAATCATGTCCAGGGGGGGGCCACACAATGGTGCCGGAGACTTGTATCAGGCAAGTTATGCGCGGTCGATGTTTGACCCCGGTTCCAGGTCCCCGGGTAGCAATTGAGAGGAATTGGCGAGTGTGCCTCATGTCAGCCCCGTGACTACACCAACGATGGTGAATGGTGGCCCTTGCTTACAAACACTGGCACAGAGAGCCCGAGCTAACCCAGTGGTGGGAGCTCCTGCAAATCTCCCGCAAACGCAACTGGTTTACTGCCCCGTCCTCGCTGGACAGGCCTAAGAGCGCCATTCTAAGGGATTCCTTGGAATCCTTGGGCCTAACGTTTTTGGGTCAAACGTTTCTTGAGTTGCAGTGCTGCAGGTGTCAAGAAGAAGCCCTATGACTTGATGCGACCCAAACAGGGCCATGGATGCCCCAAGCTCTGCGCAAACTTTGGCGCAGCTGAGCCAAGGTGACAGCGCGGATGCTGGGTATGCGTTGAACTCTCTTGGTTTCCCCATTAACGGACCGGGGATGACAGAACTTAGATGAGAAACGGTCAAAAATACTTATTTCACTCAGAGGACATTTCATAATTTGGCGTGCCCCTGTTTCCTATAAGAAACTTGGGTAGGCCCCCATGTCCTCCCCAAACTAGCAGTAGACTATATACCAGTCATGCTATGCTCTATATGGGCAGTATCGTCACGCAAATGCCACAACAAAACACATATTTCGGTCGTGACCATTTCCACCATCCAAAGCAGCGGGAGTCAAATTAACGATCATCTTGAGAAATCAGAAGGTTGTCTTCGGCACCATCTTGTCAAACCTTTAACATTCCATGTACCAACAAAAAGGCATAGCGCAAAAATGGCAGGCAAAATCCACAAGTAAACTCGCTCTGTTTCGGGAAGTGACTGACTGCTGCGCGCTAGTGCTTACCTGACGGTGGGTTCAGACGCTACGGGCCAACGTTTTGGGGAGAGGATGGCAGAGGGGCACACACAGGCAACAGCCCATGACAAACCTACGTAATAATTCTCGACCCGCTCAGCACAAGCTCCGCTTTGCTTTTCCAAGACGCTAGCTGGTTCTTTGCTCTGTGCCTCGGGCCTTGGCGCACACCTGAACAAAACTGGCTCTTGTCTCGGAATGCAAACATGCTACTTGAACATTCGGAACGGAGTCCCCAGTTTTGGCTCTGCAAATTCCACGCCTCATGTTGCTTGACATGAAGATTGCGCTCACCTACCAGGCAGCTTTGGCCTGCGGTGCAAGAAGTTGGACATCCAATGTGTCTAAATCACTCGCCAGGTGGGCACTCTGACATGTTGTGCCTGGGATGTGAACATCTCGACAAGGTTGGAGATCAAACATGATGTGGTGTTGGCGTCAGGCAAGGTCAAAAGACGGGCAACCCCTTTGGTTTCCCTGTAAGCCGAACTGAGAAGGATAGCCTCAACAAGCTCAAGCCCGAACCATGAATAAATAGCGCTGCGTGCATCTCCGGGCGGAAGCGCACAGACTGTGTGTGTGTGTGTTGGCATGTTGTGTAGAGGTATCAACACGTGTGCGCACGCTGGTGAACATGCACGCAGGTGAAGGCGCACGCTAGCCGCAAACATGCGCCAGTGGATTCGAACCCAAATGCGCACGCCCTCTGTCTGTGTGTGTGTGTGTGTTTCTTTGACTGGTACAGCTCCCTGGCCCAGATCAGACGATTGCAGAAAGGCCGGCCAGCAGCCGGCATGCCATTCCTCAACAAATCACAGCAATATGTCAAAAAAGCTGGCATCCAGAAGTGGTACGATAAGGGTATGTGTGAAAGTAGGCTCGAATATAATAGTCAAGTAACGCGTTGCATGTGTTGTTGGGCATCCTGCGCCTTCCGACAAATCTTCGCAACCATCAATCTGGAGGCTGACTCTGACACGCTTCCTTAGTCAGCTGCCAGGTGTAGGCTTGACAGGAGTTTCGGAAGTCTGGCGCGAAGAGAAAAGTCCTGAGTTGATTTACTTGCTTCTTGTCGGTTTGCCAACACTGCTTGAGCATCTTGACAACACAGCATGTCTTGAGCCTGAACATTCGTTAACACCGGCTGGCGGCGATTTTTCAGCTACTGTCTCCAGGGAGCGCCCGGCCAGACTTGTTAGGCGTTGAGACGGTGTACTTAAAAGGCCTTCTGTGAGGCATGGTTGGAACTCACACCGTGGCCGGGAAGCGGCTGAAAGAGCAGCATCCAGTGAGATGGTCGTGAGCCCAAGGACAAAGAGCCATGATCGTGGATAAAGCTACCCGCTGGGGCCGCCAAGCGGCCGGTTGACGAGATGTCGCCCCGGGCATTTGGAGGCAGCATACACGAGGTACGTGGCAGTGCGCGTTTCAAATAGCCTCGGGAGTTCTGAGAAGCCAGCTACAGGAAATGCTTGTGTTTGGCAGGCATTTCCTTTAGAAATTCCTGTAAGTGGTTCCTTAGAGGGGTAGTGGAAACCAGAGACATGGACCAGCAGCATTTTCTCTATGGACATTAGCGTCGCGCGGCTCGATGGGCAGCGCACGGCCAGCGACCTGGAGCGTCCAAACGAGTATCGTCCATTTGCTTGAGATGGCAACAAGAACACACATGTTCCGGTCCCGACCCTTTCCACCTTCGAAAAAAGCAACAATCACCTTAAGACATCCGAAGGTACGCTTGTCTCGGCACAATCTTGCAAAGATTTGCAAAGCCTAATTTGACCTGTCACGGCCTCATGGCCGGCGTGTGCAGCTCTCAGCGGATTGTGAGGCCGCCTGGAGCAAAACATCGGATTCGGTTGCCTGCTTCGGCCTGCTGCTTCTTTCGTCTGATGAGCGGAATCGAGGAAATAAACCAAGGCAACGCAAATAATCTTGATGCTATGTGGCCGGTTTTGAGCCCCCCCACGCGCAAGGCATCGGGACAGTCCACTCTGCAAGGGGTGATCTCCGCATAGTCGATAAACAGTATGAAATAGTATGAAATGGATGGTTAAAAGGTTGGGGTGTTAAAAGGAAAGCTGGGTATTGTCATGATACATCTGCCCAGATTGTGATAATTCGCCAATCCATGCCAATCCGTGAGGGACCTTCATTGCCCGAGCTCGTTTAATCTCCGTTCGCCGAGCTCGCAATTACTCCCTGCCAACGCTGTTCTTTCGCCGGTTGAAAGGGGATGAAGGAAAACCCAACAAGCAAAAAGTTGACAATGCCATAAGGCGACCTTTGGCTAAAGCAAGCGGCACAGCTGTAGAAGGCCAGCGTCGCATTCACCGCCCCGAGCAGCGGCTGAAGGCGCTCTAGCCTGGCAGGCAAGGAAAAAAGGGCCAAGAAAAAACGTGTGGATGGGGGGGGAACATTGCATGCAAGATAGAAGAGAACAATATAAGCATCCATATCAATTACACATTGAACATCCAATTCAATCCATGACATGCGCCTTTATTACAACAGCCACCAAACTTGGCAAGGGTGACTAGCCGCCCTACGCTCTGAATCAGCTTGCATTGTATGAACACAGCGAACAAACATCTAGCAGTGCTAAACATTGGTCATCCCCGGTGGCCTGTCAGGCTCGGTCTCCCTGAGCCTGCATGGGCGGTGACGCCGGCTTCCGCGCGCAGGAAAAAAAGAAACCGCGCAGCGGGATCTTCCAAATCTCTGGTGGGAATCAAGCGAACCCTCCGGCGGTTGAGGCTTGACTCTGCGTGCCAAGGCGCTGAGCGACGTAAGCATCTAGCCGGACAGCCTCAAAGAACACAGCATGTGGGATAGAGAGTGCTTTATCAAAGAACCATTGAAACTCTCGAGTCACAAGCATGAACACAAACCTCCTCCTTCCACCAAGTAAACTATACGGCCAGGCAAAATCTTTCAGAAGTGCCACTCAGATCAGGGGCCCTTGTTTCTCCAACCCTCCTGCATTTGTGAACTCAATTATAGATTCGGCTGGCCAGAAACAAGTGGCTCGGAGTTTCTTCGAGTCCATTGCAGGGCTGAGGTGTTTGCGCGCCTCCTGTGCCAGCGCGGCCTGGCTGTCCACCCTCAGGCCGTAGCCGTTGGAGCTGCAGCCTCGCCCCAGTTGCATTGCGAAATTCGAATCTGGGATGGCCTTCCAAAAGAAGACCACATCATGCTGTACATTGTCCTACTGACCTACTGGGAACTTGCACAAATGGTCAATGTCAGCTTGTTCAGCGCTAGCTTCAGCGCCTGGGGCGCCCTGCCAAAGGTCTGCCAGGGAATGGCCCCAAATAGCCTTATGGCGCGCACAAATGATGCAAAGCCTGCATTGCCTGGAGTCACTGCCTGCATTGCCTGGAGTCACTGCCTGCATTCCAGAAGCACCTCGTGCCCATTTTGCACACCGCTAAGTGCCACAGCCTCACAGGTAAACGTAAACCGTAGAGTTGGTTGGACTTGGCGCCACCCATTTGTGTCCACAAGACTCCCTCAATTCCACACACAGCCACGGGACGCCACCAGGAGTTTCTTCCAAGCCGCGCAGGGTCAAGAACTGCCACGCGCCGGAACCCTGCAGCAGCAGCCATCCTGGAGCGCAAACGAACTCCCCTTCTGTGGTGGGACTTATGTGCTCCTACCGCCAGTGAAACTGACTCCATTTCTCCAGTGAAGAACCGTTTTCGAAGTTCATCTAACATGCAGGCCATGGTCACCAGTGCCTTGCAAATAGAGCATGAAACCAAAGGCCCAGAGCATGTCTCGCCAAAATGGCTTCCACTACCTCCAAACCACAAGGCAATACGGAGTAGATGGAGACGTCATGGGGTAAATAGGGATTACATACCCCCTCCCATTTTCCGTTCGTTCCTTCGTACCAAGTGGCAGGGACAAGTAGGGGAGCTGATGCGGGTGCGACACCAAGACCAGCTGCGCCTTCAAAAATTCAAGCTGAAACTGGCCAGACAGCTACAAGTTATTCCATCTGACTCCCCTCCAATAGCGTGGAAAGTGTAGGAGACACAGGGCAGCCAGGATCCACAGGTGCAAAGCTGCTCCTGCGTCGCAATTGCGGGCTTGTGTTGCTACTCTTCGGTGACTGCGGTGATGGTCACAACGCTTCTCCAAGCAAGTCACCTCCCTTTATGGGCTTGTCTCAGATTAGAGGAAGCCTTAGAATGGGTGGTTTCCTTTGCTTTTACCCTGGACTTCAAAAGGCCTTTTCAGAAACGGCCGATTGTCGAAGAGCCATTTGTGGCAAGAATGCATGTTTTCACTGGTTCCGAAGAGCCATTTCTGGATTCCCATGTTGGCCAATAAGCAAGACCACATTTCTGGACTACCATGTTGGCCAATAAGCAAGACCCCCCCCCCCCCAACACAAAGCTGGCAATCATATAAGCCCCAAGCTCACATCAGCCAAGTCAGAATTTGAATCCCTGAACTTCCAAATTCCTTTGGAGAACTGGCTTGTTTGTCGAAGGACCTAAAAAAGAAAAACCCGCTTTTTCAGTTGCTTTGGACAACCATTTGTGGAGCTCGATGTTCGCCAATGAGCAGCCGCGGCCGTAGTCCAGCCATCACGCAAGCCCGTGTTCAAGCTAGGCTCGCTTGGAATCGTCTTGTGTCTTTGAAAAGGTCGCGCAGTTGAGCTCCGTAGGCTTCAGCTCTGCCACTTTAATTTGCATGCCTTTCAGGCTGGGGTGGCATTCGGCGGGATGTCCACGGTTTGTCCACTCCCTTAAATGGATGTTCCACTCCCAGAAATGGCTTTTCCACGCCCACAAAATGGCTCTTCCACGCTTTGTCCACGCTTTGTCCGCTCTCCAGCTTCTCCGAGACTGCGGTAAGACGCCCATTGCGCACGTAAGAGCGAGCGTTAAGGTTGCTTTTCAAGCACATCATGATGCCGACCAAGCTCACATAACACACAAGGCTCCTGGCTGCCGGGCATGACAACAGCAATTTCGGAAAATGCTGCTCGACGAATTTTAAACAGACGTTTGTAAGGACCCTAAAATGGTCTAGCATTTCCTTAGAATGGTCGAGGGTACCTAGGCCCTTTCAGACATGGGCGAGCACGCCCAGGGTTTGTAAAAATGTAGTTTGCCTTGCTGAAAAGCTCTCAGCGCTAGTGGCCAAGAAATTCAAAAGGCAACGCCAACCCACTGAAGCACACTGAGTCGCAAAGCAATGCCATATCTAAGAGCCATTTCAGAATTGGCCGTTAGCTGTTCCTCAATAGGCCGTTGGTGAAGACCCACAAATGGCCGAGCATTTTCTTAAAATGGCCGAGGGGTGCTATAGGCCATTTCAGAAAGGGCCTCCGACGTTCAGGGTTCAGATTCCCAAAAAATGACTTCCGAGTCTTGGGACCCCCGGCCTCGGTGGCACCGTCCGTCGAGGACTTGCCCTGGGCGACTGGATGGCAAACTTGCGACTGATAGCCAATTTGGGGTGTTGCCTGGTGCATATATATATATATATGAGCAACTTGCGAAGCCTCTTGTGTAGCCAAAGGACATCGGGTAGAGGTTATCGTTTTTTGTAACCATATCGTTTTACATGGTTTAGTACACTTTTCTAAAGTCGCAACTTGCAGTACAAGTGTACAAAGGAAAGTACACTTCGCTCCGGCTTAAAACTCGCAACTTTTTAGAACAAGTGTAGTACAGGAAATACACTTTGGCAGCTCCGGCTCGAGAGTCGCAACTTGTCAGTACAAGTGTAGTAGAGGAAGTACACTTTGGCAGCTCCGGCTCGAAAGTCGCAACTTTTCGGTACAAGCGTAGTAAAAGGAGGTACACTTTGGCAGCTCCGGCTTTTCAGTACAAGTGTAAAGAAAGTACACTTTGGCAGCTCCGGCTCGAGACTCGCAACTTTTCAGTACAGGTGTAGTAAAGAAAGTACACTTTGTAGCTCCGGCTCGAGACTCGCAACTTTTCAGTACAAGCGTAGCAAAAGGAGGCACACTTTGGCAGCTCCGTCTTAAAAGTCGCAACTTCTCAGCACAAGTGTAGTAAAGAAAGTACACTTTGGCAGCTCCGGTCAAAGGCGCAACTTTTCAGTACAAGTGTAGTGAAGGAAGTACACTTTGGCAGCTCCGGCTCGAAAGTCGCAACTTTTAAGCACAAGCGTAGTACAGGAAGTACGCTTTGGCAGCTCCGGCTCACAAGTCGCAACTTTTCAGCACAAGTGTAGTAAAGGAGGTGCACTTTGGCAGCCCCGGCTCGAAAGTCGCAACTTGTCAGTACAAGTGTAGTAAAGGAAGTACACTTTGGCAGCTCCGGCTCGAAAGTTGCCACTTGTCAGTACAAGTGTAGTAAAGAAAGTGCGCTTTGGCAGCTCCGGCTCGAAAGTTGCAACTATTCAGTACAAGTGTAGCAAACGAAATACACACAGCTGCTCATTTCCTTACACAAGGGGCCCCGTGCACAAAACCATTTTTTTTGTAACCCTATCGTTTCGCATGCTTTTGGCACGTTCTACTGCACATGTTGATATGTCATGTCCAGCCGTTTAATTACATATTGGTCTTCCAGAGGTTTGATAGATGCTCATATACATTTGGCGAACCTCCGTTTTTGGATCAGCAAAGGTTAACCCCATATCAAAGAGGTTCCTCCTGTTGAATGTTGGGATATATTCATCTGGCCAACGAGTCAACAACTCGATGCTCTGGCTTCCTGTAAGTGTTGGCACTGGCCTCGCTCATCATCTCCCGAATGTGCAGGAAAGCATCAGCTGCGGTCTGCAATCAGGCAAAATCATTCCCGGCCCAAGCAGGGAACACAACAAAACGTTGAACTAGTCTGGGAAGCGGTCAGACACCACCGCATCATGCCCTTCAGTTGCAGCGACAGCAAACGCAGGACAATGCTTTGTTTTTGCGCTCAGGGCTGCTTCTCCCTCTCTCCTTGCTTTGTTCCGGTTCACCTCAGTGCTGGGCCTTTCGCACTAGCTTTCAGTTTCAAAGCCACGCACAGCTCTACTTTGCTCTTCTCCGGTGAGTTGAAGATTGGCAAGGACAATTTGAACTAGACCCATGATTCGGAGATCCTGCTTGCCGTCATTCCAAAAGCTGGCCAACCCAAGCACACAAGCCAGCAAATGTAGGGGCGCTGCAGTGCCAATCCGTAAAGTCTCCCAAAGGAAACAGCTCGATGCAGGCATTCGTTGATCGTTCAGTCGCCGCTTGCAAACTAGGTGCCTGAACCACGGGACCCGAAGATGGTGCGAGAGGGTCCAGCAGCTTGTTAGCAAAACAACTCTCAAAGGTTGGGCCCCTGCTCAAACATGGACACCAAATGGCAGGAAAATGGCTTGGGTACGGCAAGGGGGTAAAATCCAAAGTGAGTTCTGCGCAATCTGTCACCCAACTTTTCCTACCATTGCTCAATGGTGCTCCTATTGCTCAATAACGCTCTAACAACTACTTTTGCGGATTGTGCCTCTTCAAGTTCAACCCCCATTTAGAACCACGTGGGCGAGGCGTTGAGTTTGATCGAGGATGCCACTTCAATGGTCGGTGTAACCCCAAAGTGCGACCGAATTCAGCTTGAAGCTGACATTGCTTGAGCTTGGTATTGCGGAGATCTTAGTGACTTTAAGCAGCTGCACTTTGCGCGGTAGCCATACTTCAGGTCATAACGCGGGCCCGCTCCACACCCAACAGCTTCTGTTGGGGCTATGCGTACTGTTGATCCATTGCCAACTGATGGACATGAGAGGCAATTATCTTGTCCAACGCAGGATTCAGAGTGCTGCAATGTTGCAACATGTCATCCAGGCCGACGCTCGCGACCAAATTTCTGGCGATTTCTCCTGGTGGCTCCCCCGCCTGGCCCTTGGGAGTCCGCAGCTCCGGAGGGCCCAGGTCGTGCTGCGCCTTACCCGGCATGTGGTTGCAATGTGATTTGCTGCCTTGTTTCTTCAAGGGACCCTTGTGAGGGGGTCACCTATTTTGCAGGAAACACCCACATCAATCATGAATCCCTTGGGAAGCCATGGCAAGTTCCGCCCGTCCGACCCCACTTTAAAAAGGGGCGCTTCACAATAGGGAAGTCTCAAAGGCAAGAGACGCAAAGGCCAAGAGACGTGGTGCCAGGGCAAAACGTACAAAGCGACTAAAGGAGCGATAAAAAACATGTGGTCGCGTCGGGGGAAATCAAACAATTGCGCCAGTTGCATGAGCGCAACAAGTCGTTCGCGCGAAGCGGGACCCGAAACGGTCAAGCAGATGTACAAAGCAACAAAGCATATCCTGGGCCTGGTCTCAACTGCTCTCCTGTCCAGAGTTCCAAACAAGAGCACATTAAGTCTCAAGCACGTGCGTGTTTCGCGGAGCTGAACATGCGCCGAAGCGGTTCATGTATGCAAGTCTGCTTCGCCTCATCTTTTGCTGCATCGAATCAAGTGATCGAGCAAAGAGATTCACTAGATTGAACATCCCCGAGGCAAATGCCCCTTTCAAAGGGGGCCAGGCTGACGGGCCAATGTGACGGTCCTCCGCTTGCGGAGGTAGGCGCCTTCGTTAAAACACGCGTGGAGCGCAATAGCGTTCCATTCGAGAGTCGTTCCTGGTTTTGCACAAGAGGCTCTTCTGGCCACAAGCTGACTGCTGGCCGGGTCGACCTGTGTGGCCACCAGGGCCTATGTTTGTGACCATTATACTTCTCCTGGACGTACATATCCTCATCCAACTGACGGTTATTTCATTGACCTCAAAAGACAAGCAGCCAGGTGCAGCAGCATTGACATTTGTCAATTAGTGACCAGGTCTTTGACGAGATCAAAACAGCCAGGGTCGTTGGTAGACCGCCAGCCGGCCACTGGCCTTGGCCCATCGGCTCCACAGTAGCACCGCCAGTGACGGCACCGTGAGCAAGGAGATGAAGGCGCCTCGCGCCAGATTCAACGGGTCCCACAACGGGTGTGTTTTTTGAGGGTTCGGCACCCTCTTCACCTTGGTTTGAAGGATAGAGGTGTTTTTTGTTTTACTAGGTCCAGTTTTCCGGCATCACTCACATCACTTGGACCTGGATTTGCCTATTGGCTGGAGTTGGGGCTGGTTTAAGTTAGGGGGGTTTTGGCTGGCTTAGATCTTCATGAGGGTGGGTCTTGGGGTGGGTTGGGGTTGATTTTGGCGAAGCGAAGGGCTGACATCCAGGCTGCTGTTGGGCGAGTTTAGGGTTGACTAGTGGGTTTGGGGTGGCTTGGAGCTGATTTGTGTTGGGTGTGCTTGCTGGTTTAGCAGCGGCTTTAGAGTTGCTTTAGGGTGTGGTTAAGAGAGTTTGGGTCGAGTTTTGGTGGTTTGGGGCAACGCTCCAAAACCAACCCTAAACTCGACCAAAACTTTGAACCACCCCTAAAGCAACTCTAAAGCCGCTGCCAACCCAGCAGCACACCCAACACAAATCAGCTCCAAGCCACCCCAACCCACTCAAAGTCAACCCTAAACCCGCCCAACAGCAGAACCCCAAACCACCCCAAGACCCACCCTCATGAAGATCTAAGCCAGCCAAAACCCCCCTAACTTAAACCAGCCCCCAGCAACTCCCAACTGCCACCCCAATCAGAGCCAATAGGCAAATCCAGGTCCAAGTGATGCTGGTGATGCCGGGGATGCGGCCAGCCAACCAACCAACCAACCAACCAACCAACCAACCAACCAACCAACCAACCAACCAACCCATCACCAGACCTAATAAAAAAACAAAAACAGACCTAGTAAAATAGAAAACACTACCTCCTTTGAAGGAAACCAAAAGGCAAAACAAACCAACTTTTTGGGCTCCCCCTATTTTGATGCCTGTGCACTCCGTGCCCCAGTTTTCGAATATAAAACTCACGCTGAGCAAAGAAAATGGCAAAATACATCCCAGCCTGGGCAATTAGAAGGAACACCTATTTCAGCAAATAGTCGAAAACGGGCTGCAAGAACTCAGAAATCTGAGCGCAGGCTTTTGAGGATTTCGTGTGAACTAGGGATACAGCCAGCGCTAGAGGAGCGTAAAGACCGAAGAGTGCGGATTCGTTTACTTATAGAGCCTGACCGTGTGCCACAGGAACAGGATCTGTCCGAAGCCTGGCCAAAGCTGTCCTTCCTTGGCCAGCCTGGTCGCCTCAGCTGGATTGGCCGGTCTCGGCGCCCTATCCAAGAACGGTAGACATGTAGAGAAACCTTGCTCAGTTTGAGGTGAGAGCATCCACATCTGTCCGCCGTATCCGACCCACTGCAAATCTGCCCATGTTTGCCAAGCCACGATCATGGGGGTCAGGCCACCACAGATTGAGGCCAGGCCAAGGCCTCTTCCGTAGGCCGGCGGAGCCAAGAAAAGGCGCACATGGGCACACATTTTTTTCCAAACTAAGGAACATCATTTGGTGATGGGGGGGTGCCTCAGTTCCTCTTTCAACCCTCCAAGAGGTGTCTCTGTTCCATGAATGTTCTTGTTATGTTTTTTTCATAACTTTTTTCTTGGTCGTATTGTTTGTTACATTGATTATTGTCATGTTTGTTCTTACTGGCAGTCTACTGCTCGTGCGAAGGACATGAGAGGACAAACAACATTTCCACGCAAAAGGGGCGGGGAGGTAAAAATAACAATACAAATTGTCCGGGGCTCATTTGACAAATTGAAGGACAGGGATCCACGAGGGGCGACATCCCAAGGACCAGTCAGAGTCAGAGATAAATATTACTCATATAGTAATGGCTTAATAACAATAATAAACAATAGTATTGTCAGTTGCTCCAAGGTCTGACTCCCTTTCTTGCCACCAAGCCAGGGTCCCGGCAGAGGCCGCAGGTACGCCCTCGAAGAGAAGTTGGGAAGACACAGGTCATGAAGAGATTGGAGGGTACGAGGTAGAGTGACACCAGTACCTGGCTGGAAAAATGTGGGTGGGTGTTTTTCGAGGCTCGGGACATGGCCTTTTCTCCTTGGTCTTAAGTTTAGGGACAGGGACCCTTTTTTCAGTGCCCAGCTATTCAACGACTTCGAGTCATCCAGCACGATGCCAGCAAGCAACGCTGTTGCAAACAGTACAAAAAAAAGACTGAAGACATGTGGAGAAACCCTCACCTTCCACGCTCTAACTCTAACACATACTTAATCAACTTGAGAATGCGAGGGCGCGGGGGGCTTACGTCTATTCAAGGTTAAAGTAATCAAACCGATACAATTATAAAAGCAAACCTACATCTACTCCTGGCGCAGTTGCTGTCAGCCGTCAGGGTTGAACCTAATGGGCCAAATTGTCGGACCCTCATCCAAAAGGCGCCAACTTGTTTTCTATCTTCGGCCAAGGTGCTGGCATCAAAACCCCCAAAACTCCGAAGGCAATGCCATGGGAGTTGGTGCTAATGACAAGCCTCAGTTGGTGCGCAAGGTTGGGATAGTTTGCCACCCACTCAGAGGACTCATTGACACCTGCACCCTCTGTCAGAAAAACCTCTGCAAAAAAGTCATACTGTGGTTCCTACAGCTGGCTCGCATGCATTCGAGGCGCCACATCAAAGGGACAGCCGCAACGCTTACTGCCAAGCCCCCCAGCAGCATGACCTGGCTCGGGCAGCAAGGCCCTTTGCTTGTCTCATGGATGGCTCTGTGGCTCTGTGGCGCCTTCGTCGCCCCGAAGCGATCCGTTGCATAGGAGGCAGGGAAGGTCATCAGCATCTGCGTCACCTCTGCATGCAGCCCGCCAGCTTCTTGCAAACAGCAAGCTCTTGGGTGATACGCCAGCGCTTCAGGGCTGCTAGCAACATCCCACGATCCAAAGCTCGTTCAATGAGATGTATTGAGAACGCCATCACTACTTGGCGATTCAGATGAGCAAGCTGGATCAAAACGTAAGAGGAAGCTCGTTTGCAGTGTGCAAACATACCACTCCCCCCAACCATCGCACTGCAGTCAGGTGCCTTTGCAAGCGCTGAGATACTGAGTGCAACTTGCGGCGCGAGCGAGGCCTCCTGCAGCGTCAAATGTCATGCTTCATTCCATGCACGAACACCAGTCTGAAATACCTTGAGTGCTAAGTGCAACCCAGTCACAACAAAGTCCATTCAGGCAGACACACACTTAAACTCCAGATGGAGGGTGCTAATCTTTCGAGTACAACTGATGAGTCTCGAGTACAACTGATGAGTCTCGACTGGGTTCTGCTCGCGATGCACTCGGCTTCCCTCTAGCAGCGAACACGTTACCCGAAAGAACAAGAAGCACAATCAGCGCCGCAACCAAGGGGCCAAAAGCACATTCAGAATCACGGAAAGCAGGTACGCCGGATTGATCAGATCCGGTATCCCATGACTGAGGTAGCTTCGTTGAGTGCGGTCCCTCAGTCATGCCGCACTCCCCTGCTACTCATAGTGGTGACAGGGTATTCTGTCACTCCGCACACACACGCCCCTCAGTGAGGGGCGAGAAGTCTCTTTTTCAGCAGGAAGATCACATGCTCAACTTTGTGTCCCTATCGTTTGCCAAAATATCCACCGCGGCAAGGGGAACGCGACACTGCCCTAAGCCGCTCAGAAGACGGGAACGAAAGATCACCACGATGAGCATTACGGGTGTCGCCATAGAAGACTGGAGGGAATTGCAAAGCAGTCGAGCGATCACCGTCAGAAATAGGGGGAGCATAGGTGAACATTTCCTCGACTCGGATTGCGTCCGAATTCTGCACGTCAACAAGTGATTGATCACGGGCATGATGTGTGGAGAAGGACTCCCTGCGAGAAAGAATGCGTTGGTATCCTTGATGCTGCCAGTCGCGAATGGTCCACGCCTGACTGTGTTCACCAGTCCCACCAATGGGATCAGTTACCCGCTTCCACTCCCGAAACGAGTTGTCTGGGAGGTCAGGTACGGTTTCTCCTGGTTGCCA